CCTTGGGTTTTCAAGGTGGTATCACTATGGAAGTAGATTGCCCAACCTTCTCTCTGAGGAGTGGCTGGTGGGTTTGAACCACCAGCCTTCTGGTTAGCAGCCAAATGCCTTAGGCACTAAAGCACTAGAGCTCTTGGATCATAGATGTATGAAAAATTGTTTTGTTTTGTTTAAAGATTTCCTGAAGTTTCTTAAATATTGGCTATTTCTTTTCATTTAGAGATAAATGTACACTCCATCATTTTAATAATTATGGAAAATAAACATCAAAGATACTTCATTCTGAAGAAAATCCATTCATAAATTACTAGAAGAAACTATGAGGGGAATCTTTATCTGACCTCTTCATAAAGGAGAACTTTCTATGCTTAAAACTTATCAATGAAATTTCAAAGAAAAAACTGAAATATATAACAACATCAAAATAAAACATTTTATAAAAATATTTAAAGGTCAAAATAAATAAATAAATAAATAAATGGGAAATTTTGTGCAAAAAAATCTGACAGATGAAACAATATATGTTCTATGCTAAGAACTTGTAAACGATAACAAGAAAAATTCAAAATGTCAGACAATTCATGTAATTATACCCATTTGACAAATGGGAAAAAATGCACACACTATCTTAAAAAAAGGACAACAAAATTATATGTTAGAGCAAATGGTCAGTAACTATAAAAATCTAACGTCAAAACCATTCTCATTTATATTCTCAGTAAATGCATGAGTATATTAGATGGATAAAACAAGAACACGTTACTTTAAAAGGAAACAATTTGAGAATAAATACTTTTAAAATTAAAAAAACAAAAAAACTATCATGTAGGTAGAAGTGCAAAAGTAAAAATCCCAGTGGAGTCAGCTCATAGCAGATTATACAATGACAAAACAACCTGTGTTAAAATGCCCTTTGGTGGCTTCCCTCTGCCCTTAGTATAAAATCCAATCTTCTTTACAAAACCTCCAAGAGTCTGCTTGATGTGGCTACTGCTTACCACCCAACCTCATCTCCCAGGCAACTCTGCCTCATCTACTATGCTCTGGTAACACTGACCTTCCTTTAATTCCCAGAATACACCAATCCTCAACCATCTCAGGGCTTTGCATATGTTTTCCTCTCTGCCCAGAACACTCTTTTCTCTGCTTTCTGTCTGCCTGGCTCTTTTTCATGCTTCTGGTCTCAGCAAAAATGTCACCTTCTCAAGAAGCTGCTCTGATCAGCCCCTCTAAATTAGTGTCTCTCTCCTAACCGTGCTATTCTGTATTAAAGTTTTCATTTTATACAACAGAAGACAACAAAGTTGAGGGCAGTCAATGTACACAGGGTAATCAGAAACAACCTCTTGAGAAAGTGACATTTTGGCCCACTGAATGAGCAAAAACATGCCTATTGTTATTAAATAGTACTATTAAGAAATATAATCCGGAGAAATATTTCAGGATTTAATTTGGTTAACTGTATTAAAAGGCTCAAAAATCTTCTAAATAAATAAATGGAGGAGAGAACATATGTCTTCCTTCCAAAAGAAATACAATCAATGAACATAGAAGGAATGAGAGAAATACAAAAACCACCATTAAGCAAACACAACAGTAATAATTGTTTTAGTCTGGCAAAAGTTGTGATAGACAAAAATGACCAGAATTGCTGATTGGATAGAGACAGGTGGAACCCTCGAGACTATGGGCCCAGGTTACCCTTCCAGCTTAGAAATGGACTTGCTGACATGGATTGGCTTGCAGCCCAATGGTAGAAAGACCCACACACAGAACACCTACCTACCCCAGATCATGCACCCATCTACTCTGGGGAGATGCACCCCTTGGAACAAGCAGCCATGAGACACCAGAGGGATAGCATTCACATAGAGGGAAGGCTGGACAGACAGGAATGCATGGATGAGAGGGACACAGTGAGGAGTTGGCCACAGGAAGGAGAGGGGAGGAGAGTTCATTATGGTTGGGGACAGTAATCCGGGCCATGAAACCAGATATGCATGAACTGTTGAATGTAAAACAAGTTTGCTACATAAATTTGCACCCAAAGCACAATTAAAAAAAAAAAAAAAAGTTGTGATAGATACATTTACAACAACAAAAAGAGTAACTGCTGAGGCTGCCTGTGTATAACCAAACACCTCATGCTATTTGGTTCCTTGGTTTGGAGGTTTAGGGTCATGTATCATGGGACATCCCAGTTAATTGCCCTAATAACTTGCTCAGAGCTTCTATTTTACCTTCTAGTTCACTGTGTAGTGCCTGGACTCTTAAAAGTGCAAGTGGCCATCTAAGGCACAATAACTGGTCTCAATTCACTTGGAATAATAGACGAAGGAGAGCCAGGAAGAGGAAGAGGATATGGAATGTGTGGCTAACTGCATCCTTGGCTATGAGACTGGAAGAACCAGATGGTGCTTGGCTACCATTACTAAAAGAATCCTAATCAAAAGGGGGGAAATTTCAAATTGTTATGGACTCAGGATTTTCTGGAGCTCAGATGAAGCTCTGAAACAATTGCCCTGAGACAATCTTTAAAACTTAAACCAAAAATATTCCTTGGAGTCTTCTTAAAACCAAATAATAGTTTAGCTTAACTAGTAAAAAGAGAGGTCTGCCTTGAACATTATGCTCTTTTAAGATCTCTCTATATGGGGACAAAGGAACTCTGGTGGTGTAGTGGTTAAGGCACATGGCTGCTAACCAAAAGGTCAGTGGTTTGAACCCACCAGCCTCTCAGTGAAAGAAAAATGAGGCAGTCTGCTTCTGTAAAGATTTACAGCCTTGGAAAAGCAATGGGGTTTACTATGAGTCAGAGTCAATTGGATGGCAGTGAGTTCTGCACCCCCCGTATGTGGTCAAAATGACAACAGCAACTCAAAAGATTACGTAAGGAACCTTAAAGGGTAGTGAGTTTATGTTAATTAAGTGTAAAGGACCAACTCAGAAAAGGAGGTGAGAATGGCTGTGCAACTTGTAGAACACAATCAATGCCACTGAAGCGTACATGTGAAAAATGATTGAGTTGGTGTATGTTTTGCTGTGTTTATTCCCAACAACAACAAAATGAAATTTTAAAAAAAATTTAAAAATGTTTCAACTAAGAAAAATCAATGTATGAGAAAAGCAGTGGGCAGAAATAAAGGAGAAACAGAATATTTCTGTAATGTCAGATTTATCTCCCCCAACATAGTTATTAATTAAAACCCATTGCCATCAACTCAGCTCAACTCACAGCAACCCTATAGGACAGAGTAGAACTGGTTTCCAAGGCTGGAAATCTTTATGGAAGCAGACTGCTTTGTCTTTCTCCTACGGAGAAGCTGGTGAATTGAAACCACCACCTTTTCAGTTAACATCCAAGTACTTAAACACTGCACCATCAGATCTCCTTATTTATTACAAAAAGAAAAAAAAAAAAAATACTACCATTATGGTGGAGAAACTTGGCAGACATCTTAAGCAAGTGATCAAGTTTAACATCTTCCATAATAAGATATATTGATATCATGCACCCCTGATGTGATACACTGCAAAAGCTGCAACAACACTTCTGTGATTTTTTTCCTGTCAAATATACATAAGTGCAAACTAATCAGGAGAAAATATTGGGCAAATTCAAATTAAATAGCTAACCTGAACTCATCAAAAGTAAAAAAGTCATGGGACAAAAAGAGAGACTGAAACTGTCACAAGAGATGAAGAAGATGACAACGAAATGCAATAGGAGACCCTGGACTGGCTTTTGGAACAGAAAAAGATGGTGGAAAAACTGGTGAGATTCTAAAATGATCTATAGCTTAGTTAATAGTATTATACCAATGTCAACTTCCTGGTTCATATAATTGAATTATGGTTATGTAAAAAGTGAACCACCACTCTCTTCAGTTTGTTATAGTGTGGTGGATTCATGTTGATGTGCTATTGGAAGCTATGTTATTGGAATTTCAAATACTTTGAGTCACTCATGGTAAAGAGGTTTCAGCAGAACTTCCAGACTAAGATAGACTAGGAAGAAAGGCCTGGCAATCTACTTCTGAATATCAGCCAATGAAAACCTTATGGATTACATTGCACAGGGCCAGGTAATGTTTTGCTCGGTCATACACAAGGTTGCCGTGAGTTAGAGCAAACTTGACAGCAACTAACAACAGCAAGATGTTAGCATCAGGGAAATTAGAGGAAGGATACAGAGGAAGTCTCTGTACTGTTTTTGGAACTTTTATGTCATTTTAAAATAAAAAGTTAAAAAAAATAAATCTGATTTTAAAAAAACTGGGAAGGGAGAGCATTGATACATCTTGATGTAAAGATACAAAATGCACTAGTTCTCTCTCCCAAGAGTAGAAAGAACTTTGATTGGTTGTTTAGACCATGCTTGGCCAAAAATCAATGTGCACCTATTGGGAAGGAAAATGAAGGTTTTTAAAAAATACATATTTTAATTCAAAAGTTCCAATTTTTCTTGTTGTTGTTGTTATGTGCCATCGAGTAGGACCCGACTCATAGCGACCCCTCCTTGGGTTTCCGAGGCAGTATCACTATGGAAGTAGATTGCCCCATCTTCCTTCCAAGGAGTGGCTGGTGGGTTTGAACCACCAGCCTTCTGGTTAGCAGTCAAGTGCCTTAGGCACTATGCTACCAGTCAAGAAAATAATATGAAAAATTAAGAAAGCTTCAACCACAACATACATCGTTGTTTCCAACAGCACAACATTAAAAAGGGCCCAAGTGCCCAACAATGAAAGAATGGGTAATTGAACTATGTTAGGGCCTAACAGGATTATGATGCATTCATTAAAACTATTTTAATAACAGTGAGTAAATGCTCATGTTATTATGCTAAGTAATGGAATTTAGAATATGACATGGAAATATAACAATATACAAAGACATGAAAAATTAAAAGAAAATAAATCAAACTGTTACCCTTATTTTTTCAAGACAGTAGAAATATGAGTGGAAACCCTGAATGGTGCAAATTGTTAATGGCTGCTAACCAAAACATCAGCAGTTTGAATCCACCCACAGATGCTTGGAAGAAAGACCTGGCAACTTCTGAAAAATCAGCCACTGAAACTCCTGTGGAGCACAGTTCTATTCTGACAATCATGGGGTTGTCATGAGTCAAAATCAACTTGATGGCAACTGGTGGTGCTGAAGAAATATGAGTGTACTTATTTTTCTTTTTTACTGTCCATTGTTTCAATAATACACTATATAGTTCTTGTAAAAACACAGAAAAAAAACCCACCATATTTTTGCAGAAAACATTTACAGCAATAAGTTCTCTGAGGCAAGCAATCAATCCTGAATAAGACCAAAAGATCCAGGAGTTTTCTATCTGGCCCAACTAAAGGTAGGCACTTAGAAAATAAAAGGCAGTTCGGAACTTTATACCTTTCCTTTTGGTTCAGACTTTGCTGGGCACAGAACTAAGTCCTTGACATGAATCACATAATGTAAATCTCAGAACTGTCTACATGTACACCTCATTTTCTCTATTCTTCAGTGGAAGAAACTAAGACTCAAAAATGTAATTTATTCAGTGTCTCACAGATTGAAAGTGGCAGAGTTGGAATGAGAATTCCCCATCAACTGATTCCAAAATTGATATTCTTGTGGTGTAGTGCCTAAGGTACTTGACTGCTAACCAGAAGGCTGGTTGTTCAAACCCACCAACCACTGCTCAAAAGGAAGGTTGGGCAATCTACTACCATAGTGATACTGCCTCTGAAACCCAAGGAGTAGTCGCTATGATTCAGATCCTACTCCACAGCAGTGCGTTTGGTTTGGTTTTTGGCAGTGAGTTTGTTTTTCTTTTGGTATTTTGAGAAGCCATCCTATTACATGAATCTGGGAATTTCTGTATAACTCAAGTAGAAGAAAGGTGTAATTATCTCACAAGACATTGTGACAATCTTTACAAGAAGAGCAAATTGTGGCAAAGAGTTCCAAAATCAGTTCAATCATTCAGCAGACATTTACTACTGGCTGCTAACTCAAAGGTTGGTGGTCCAAACCCACCCAGCAGCTTTGTAGAAGAAAGACTTGGCAATCTATTCACAGATTGTTGTGGTGGTGGTTGTTATGTGCTGTCGAGTCATCTCCGATTCATAGCCACCCCTCCTTTAGTTTCTAAGTCAGTATCTCTACGGAAGTAGATGGCCCAATCTTCCTTCCAAAGAGTGGCTGGTGGGTTTGAACCACCAACCTTCTGGTTAGCAGTCAAGTGCCTTAGGCACTATGCCACCAGCCTAGAAAATCCTATGAGGGCATTCTACTCTTTCACATGGAGTCATAATGCATAAAAACTGATTGACATCACTGAACAACAACAACAACATCATCATGGGTTAGGTACAATATTTATCTGGGAACAAAAAGTACAGGCTTTACTTTTGACAGATTTGGGCCATATTTTAAGGTATTTTCATATTTAATAAGAGCCTTGTAAAATCTGATAATGGCTAATTTCAAAGACAGAATTAGTTGGAGAATTTTAAAGTTTATGCCAGAATGCCCTAATCTGTACAACAAGGAGAAAACTTCACAGAACTCCTCAATTTGTGTGAGTTTAAGAGTCTGACTACAGGTCTAAGGAATACAATCTTTTAACTGCAAGGCTTGTAGCAGCATGGCCACTTAGGTTGTAAAATATGCTTATTTTAGGAAATTTTATTTATCCAGTTAGAAACTGACTGATCTTGTGTAATTCACTCCATAAAGACTATGAATTTTTTTGCTGAATTTCAAGCATTTCAGGGTTATTCATATTAAGGAGAACCAAACACAGTGTGAAACTTCCTTTCTTCCACAATAATTATTAGTAGTACCCCCAAAAAATCATTTTTATACATCCACATTTTTTTGTTTTACTCAACTGAAGATGCTAGTGCTGCTAACCATGAATGGGGTTAAATGACAGATCCAGATCATGAGTTAATTGATTCTTATAGCTTCTGCCTCAACTGCCCACCCTACTAAGGCAAAGACTGCTAGTCCCTCATTTCAGAAATCCTCTTATATTATGTCCCAGAGCTCAAAGAATATTCTCTCTATTTCAAAACTCTTGTTTCAATATTTCCATACTGTTTTCTTCTATAAGGGACTAGCCCTTCCAAGTGGTACGGTTTTCTGTCTTTGGTTTATGTTTCAGTCCCTGAATGCTGCCTCTCAGTTCTCTCTTATTCTATTTTATATTCTATTCATTCCAGAACCTTTAGGGATTGGCGATTATGTTCATCTCCACCTGAGCCTCTGCCGCATGCTCCCAGAATTCCTGGGAACCAGTTCAATCATCTTGGGATCCCTCTCATTTGGAAGGAGAAGTGAGGGGTTGTCCCTACCTCTGGTTCAATGCTAAGTGAAAACAACAAAATGCTTCAGAAAAATCCAGTACTCTTGGCTTACACTGAGTCAATTTAATAATTTTAAATGCCATTAGAAGATTAGATATTTTTTGTGTTAAATTATAAAAGGTAATTAAGATTCTACTGAGAATGTTACATTTTCAAGATCACATTTTTAACCATGTGCTAATAAATGGCCAACTCAACAATGTTTTTTGAAATTAGTAAATTCTGATGATACTCACCATTTTATTCTGGCAGGAGTCAGTGAAATAAATAATTTTCCCAATCATTATTCTGACTTAAGCAAAATAAGTCCACTTTTTCTCTTTTTGTGTTCTAATGCTATAAATTCCCATAAATAAAACTGATCATGATCAAAAAACTCTATCATCATAGAGCTTTCAAAAGTGTCACACATTTAGCTCTTACTTCTAAGGCAAAGCTTGCAAAGATAAGAATATATTTACTTCCTGCTTCTATTATCTTTTTGTACCTTCAGTGAAAGATCATTTCAAAAATACAGACTTAGCTAAAGATAGAAATTCTGTACCATTGCGAGATAAATGTAGAGCTCACCCTTTAAAAAAAAAGTTTTTAAAGCATTTCTAAGCTCTCCGTATCTCTAAATGTTATGTCATGGAATATTTCTGTGGAAAGTATGTATTAAGAATGTATGAATATTTTTGGTGAGCAATTTAAATATGATACATTCATAATTGAAGAATTTTAAGTTGTATTTTTTAAATGTGGTAGGTCCCTAGACCTCTGTTAAAATTCAAACATTACAGATTTGTTGACTTGTTCTCTTTCTTTCAAAGAAGAATTTGTAAGCTCTGAAGTAACCCATCATGAAAGTATCCTAGCTCAACGTCTTTGAATGGCAACTCTATGCTTTTGGACTCCTGAACAGATAATGTAAGTGAGCCCCAAGAGTGGGCTGAGGTTAACCAGAGACCTCTCTGGTCCACTGGCTGGTGTCGCTAGAATAAAGCACATGCTAAATGCTGACCAATCAAAATGCACTGAAAGCATCAGTGATTTCTCTAGAGTGCAAAACAACTCGGAAGAAGCTGTGTTTTAACCTTTGATCCAATAACTATTTTTGAGAAACATAATCATGCTTTGCCTATCAAGGTCACACATGCCTTATTACTGTTAGCTGCTGGGGAGTCAGCTCCAACTCATGGGCACTTACATATAACATAATAAACAGTTGGCTGCTCCCAGCCATCTTTATGATCATTGGTATGTTTGAGTCCACTGTTGCACCTATTTTATAGTTCATTTTGACCTTGGGGGTTTATATTCCAACACTGTATTAGAAAATTTTCTGCTCTATACTATTCTGTTCTGTTGTGCTCCATAGGCTAACTGGTTAATTATTGGCAGTAGATTGCCAGGTCTTTCTTCCTAGTCTGCCTTAGTCTGGAAGCATTGCTGAAATCTGTTTACCACTCATGGCCCTGCTGGTATTTGAAATACCTATGGCATAGCTTCTAGCATCATAGAAACACATAAGCCACCACAGTATAATAAACTAATAGACTAATAATAAACTGATAGGCAGGTGGTGGCAATATGCCTTAGTCCACTTTGTGTTATGGAGGTAAGATGGTATCAGGGATATTTCCATTGAAACAACTGCAATGGCCACTGCTGTGATTAGTATACATCTAGGTGTAGAAGTAACTATCATGAACTTATTCATGTATTCATTCATTCATTCCAGATACCTGCAGAAGGAAGAGAAAAAAATAAGGACAAAACAAAATAGCTCCTTGTGAAAACAGTAAGGTTTTGGCAACATAAGTCGCTCAACCAGGGCATCCCAAGCAACCAGCTGATAGATGTGGATTAGGTCAGAATAGGAGGACCTAAAATATGTGACAGGTGGGGAAGTGGTTCTGATGGAAAAGTTCCAAGAAGGCTCTTTCATCCAATGATGAGTGCCAACTGCCATTCCTGGAGAAAGTTCAGAAGGCTACATTCATTGGAGTCTTGAGAAATTTGGAGAAGTGGGACCAAGAATTAGCACATATCCCAAAGTTTGTACAAGGGCCCAGAGAAAGGAAACAGGATCAATTGTTGGAGAAGAAGTGAATGGACATTTAAAAGCCAGGTGGCCCATAACTTTTATGTCCACATTCAATTCCCAAAGTTTCTGGGGCTCTCACATCTATGAACAATCATTCTCACTTTTGTTTCTCTGTATTTCTCTAGAATGTCTGTGTTCCCTGGATCTCCAACCAAGTTCACTCCCTTTCTTTTTCTTTAAATTCACTTTAGTAGCTTCAAACAGACAAATTGTGATGATTTCCAAATGAATGTCTACTGTTGTGTGCCATTGAGTTGATTCTGACTCACAGCAGCCCTTTAGGACATAATGTTTCCTAGGCTATCATCTTTATGGAAGCAGATCATCAGATCTTTTCTCCTTTGGAACCACTGGTGGGTTTGAACCTTCGAACTTTTGGTTAGCAGCTGAACACTTAACCATTGTGTCGCCAGAGCTCCTTAAATGAATGCTTAGAGCCTAATTCAGTTTCTATAGCTGATCTTGACTCAACTCCTCTACCCTCATGTTTCATAAAGCTTCAAACCAGCCTGGATGGTTGATCTCACCACCTTGCTCACCACTTAATCCTCACTTTCCTGAAACATGGATCTTGGAGATTGGGCCTAATATATCTGGTATACTTAAAC